GTGTGTGTGTGTGGCCAGCTCAGCCCACCAGGGGGCGGGGCTGGCTGGCATGTGGTGCTGGGGGATCGAACCGCGGTCCCTGATGCCTTTGCTAAGCTTGTTCCAAGTAGGTGCTTTAGACCACTGAGCCATCTCTCCAGCCCTAGGAAAAGATTCTTGTTTCCTACTTTTTCTAGGACTCTTAGAAGTGTCTGGATAAACTTTAACTTTATCAGACTCAGACTCTTCTCACTGGGCAGCAATGAAAGTGGTTAATTAGCCTGGTGACCAAGTTTTATACTGAATGAGATCAGAAATGCTAGTTTCTAAAAGTTAGCAAAGTTGCACTAGTCAAATTGAACTATTATAAACTTTTTAAATAAAATACTGGCTTGACACCTGCCCAAACTAGGGGGTGGGAGAGCTTTCACATCACTCAACCTCCTTTTTCCTCCTTAACCTTACTGAATAAAAGACCAGGCAATGTTTCAGGACGCTACAATTACAACTCACAGAGATGGAGAGTAGAGCCAAGTACTGGACAGCTTCTCCCTCCATCCCACAGCCTAATTAGGAGGGAAAAATTAACATCAATGTCACACTCTTTAAGTACACCTCACAGACCAAAACAGAAACGCATCAAAGAAGTGACAGGATCTATGTGGCATTAGGCCCAAATTAAGAAAAAGATTGAAGAAATGCCTTTGTTTTTCTTTATTAGTTTCTTTACTGGCAAAAAGACTTTCTAAATATGAAATCATTTGTGTGGTGAGATGTTCTTAATGTAAGTATTTTCCAAAGTGAAAAAACAAAAACAAAAAAAACCCCACTAAGTTAGCTTTAATAACAATCCAGAATGTTTTTCCAAACATAAAGCTCAACAGACCAGAATTTAAATAGTAAAGACTATAGAACAGCATGACCTAGCGCATGTCATGTTAAGATGGTCTTTGTGAAACAGAAGCAGGACAAGCAGGACTAGCAGGATGGGTGCAGCAGGCTGGGGCTGCAGCCTGGGCGTGCAGCCCTTTCCCAGTATGCATAAGGAGAGGGGTTCCATCCCCGGGTGGGGTTGGGGGCGCGCACATTAAATTAGTCTCTTATCTTCTTGCCTTACAAACTAACTTCATCACCGAAGAAACAGAATCTCTAAATAGAAAAATTAATTACCAAGCATAAACTTTTTATAAGAAAAAGGCACACTTTTCTATTCATAATTATCCATTTAGAAAGCAGAAAACAGAAATACACCAATTCTAAACTACAGTGAACCAAACTCTCCTCCATCTTTCTAATAAAAAAAAGCAACAAGGCTACTTTTTGACACTTGTATTTATCAACTGATTCTTTAGTTAATGACTTTTTTTCTTTTTCTTTTTTTTTTTTTTTTTTGGTACTGGGGATCAAACTCAGGACCTTGTGCTTGCCAGGCAGGCACTTACGCCACCGAGCTACCTCCCGAGCCTGATTCTTTACTTAAGCACAGACATTTTAGCAAATACACTGTTTTTTTTTTTTTGTTTTTTTTTTAAGCAAATATACTGTTAATTCAATTCAATAAATACATTTACCTTTGAGTTTCATATAAAACATTATAACTTATACCTACAAGATATTTTATTCTTTCTTCTGCCTTAAAAATCACAATCACTAGCAAAGAAAAACAAGCCAAGCACTGCACCTGGATCTGCATGGAAGGCGCTTCTAGTGCTCTGTAAACCATGGGCAGGACACTGTTCTTTATCTCGTCAGGAGGAGTTTTGGTCAGCAGTAAGTCCATTTTTTGTAGGAAAATTAACAAAATCTGTTTAAAAAAAAAAAAACATGCACTAAGGCTTAGAATCTTTAAGAGATTTGATACATGCCAAAATTTAAAGGTTTTTCCAAAGGAGTAAGTTATGTATTTTGATACTTACCATGTTGCTAGCCTGAAGGCGTGGAAGACAAAAACACACAAATAAAGTCTCTTACGTTTCTAGAAGCATCATATTTAATAACTGTTCTCAGTTTAATCACTTAAATAAAGACTGACCTCCTCACTTTCACGCACCTACCATCATCCACTCACCCACAAGAACCAACTATAGGAAAACTACTGGGTAACAAAATAAAGTTTGAGGGCAACAAAGTCAGGTAATTTCATCACTCAGCCTCTATGAAGCGCGAGAGAAGAGAGGATAAAGAAATGAGAAGGTCTGGAAGGAGAAAGTATAGGAAGAAGCATTTTTAACTGTCCCTGACTGCTTTAAATCTGGCTGCCTAGACATACCCAACTTAAAAGGAACAAACTGCCCCTCTGTTCATACAGACTAGCTTGGCCAAGTCTCAAATTTTTTCAAGAGAAATTTTCAAATGAACAACTAAGGGGGAAAAGTATACCAAAGGGACAACTAAGAATTCAGATTACAGGCTTCTCAGGTGCTATCTCAACTGATGCGCAGTTCAGGGAACCCGTAACTCCACCAACTCTGCCACTTGATGCGGCCCCTCCACCTGCCCTTTCCTGACCCCGAGCAACTGCCCATGGGCTGCCTCCAGTCTCCCTCTCCAAGGGAAGGACTACAAAGCTCACACCCCAGACAGTCCACAGCTGAAGGACAAGCTCCTGCCCACTATGCCAGAAACACAAAACATCTACTCTGTGCCAGAAATTGGGGGCGGGGAGCGCACACTGAGAATTGAACTCAGGACCTCACACTTACCAGGCAGGCGCTGCACCACTGAGCTAAATCCCTGGGCCCTGGGCCATAAATTTTCATGTCATCTCAACAACTCCTTTCATTTTAGAAATGAAGAAACGGAAGCATTACGACAGTAATGACTCATCTACACAGATTAAAGCAGCCCAGGTTCAGTTCCAAGCATGTGGTCCCCCTATTCTTACAACGAAGCCAACCTTTAATCTGGCAAATACATCATAGTCCACAGGAGAGAGTAACTTTTTATTTTTTCACTTACAACACATATACAATTATTTCCGGGGTGTCCTAAACATTTTCTTCTTCAAATGAAAGTATTTATGAGAGACGGAGAACAAACCAGCACAAACTGACTACAAATTAAAGATTAGAATAACAAATCAAACAAAAATACTTAACAGTGCTAGACAAAAATTAGTATTTCTTTTCCCAAACTATAACTTTCAATAAAGTCAAGTGAGAGTAGTATGATACATGAAGAATTTCACTGCAATTTATTTATAACTTATAGAGACCCAAAGACATTATCTGTGAAGTTTAATTTTAATTGTAGGAATGGTTTGAACATAGGCAAAATAGCTTTCTAGTTAATACAAAGTCTCCTACACTTACCTAAATTTTTAAATAGCAATATTCCAATTATTCTGGTTTCAGTGGTAGTCATTATCATGAATAAAAGTAGATAAACATGCAAAAATATCTAAAACATACCTGGATTGGCTCCTGCTGCTTAAATACAGGGCCAAGTTCAGGTAGAATTAATCTGACGTATTCTTCTTTGGTGCATTCTTCAGCAATCAATAGAACATTGGGCAAAACAAAAGGTACCATGTCGGGGTTCACAAATTCTGCAGTCAAACAAGGCAAAATTCTTTGCACAATGACTCGCTGAAAGGCAAAAATGTTTTTGTAATACCAAATTTACTTCAGGTCTTTAAAATTAAACTGAAGCACAAAGTCTGATCCCTTTACATAAGTTGATCACATAATTTATGTTAGCATTAGTATACTTTTCAAGAGAAAAATGAAACACTATTGCGAACTATGCTAAGACAAATATCTAAGTTGGGAATATCACGGATAAAGAGATATGCGATCCCATTTTTTGGAAACTCTCCCTAGTCTCCACTGATGTTTCTCTCCTAATTCATTATTTATGATTCATATCACAACTTAACACTGTCCTACATTGTTAATTATTGTTTCATGCATGTTTTTTGCTTCTTTTTTTTTAAGGCAGGGTTCTTAGTTCAAGCTGGCCTTTAACTAGCTTATGTAGCCCGGGCTGGCCTTAAACACGTGGTGATCCTCCTGCCTCAGCCTCTTGAGTGCAGGAATTATAGGCACATGCCACCTGGATCAGCGTGTCTCAGGCATGTCAAGCTTACCTGTATGGAATGTAATGGAGAGCAGGGATAGTATGTTAGCTTCCTCTTTACTCTCCATAGCTTTTAGATGAAGATTTTTATGGGTGAATGGAGCTCAGTGACACAAGTGTCTGCCTGGCAAGTGCAAACTCCTGAGTTCAATTCAAGAAAAAAAGAAAACCTCTACACACAGGTAAATGGAAATAAATCAGATCCATATGTGTAAACATTGTATCAGTAGTGTGAGAAACTGAATAAAGAGGGTCCAAAATGTGCAACAGATATTATGCATTGGGAAGAAACTGCTCAAAAAAATTAAGATAAACTGATGGGGGAAAAGGCAAAGGGAGAAAGAAAAATATATTTATTTCGCAAGACAGTTAAAGAGACGTTTCTCTTTGGTCAATGAATAAAGACAACAATATGCAATGTATTAATTACTGTAACTTTCCTACTAACCTATTTTGAAACTGTTTTACTGTTACTTTTATTTATTTTTCTCTTTTAAAAAGTATCACAAGCAACCAATGACAATCTGATAAAAACTGGGAACCTTCTGCAACCAAGAAAATGCTACTTTTATAGCCAGTGCTTCCTTTAGCACTCATCAACATTTTTGGCTGTTTTATACACACAATTTAGCTGAGTAAGAGGAGAGCTAAAACGGGTAAGTTGATGTCAGTACACAAGTATGCCTCTAGCTGCTGGTGAGGCAGGCACCTCCACAACAACAGTTCACAGGATTTTCTTCTGACACTGAATATCCAACTGCTGCCTTGACACAGATGGCATCCTTCGAATTTTTAAAGTTCTGTTTACTTGGGGACCATAATAAAATTTCTGGCTTTAGTCTGCAGCCGTTTATAGTCATTTAGGTATCTAAGGCAAAAGTTACTTTACTTCCATGGAAGTTATTACAGTAAGTCAAAGTAATGTTTAAATTTAAAAATACTGACCATAGAAAGAAATTTATCAACAACAAACCTTGGGCAGTTTTGGTAGAACCTTCGGCAGTCCTTTGAAAAATTGTGATTTCTGAAGATTATCTCTTTGGAATAAGCTATCAAAATATTGAAGTGTGACTGCACCAACATCATCAAAGAAAGGAATCTACAAATAACGGAATGAATTATTTTTGTTAACATTAAATTGAAGATACTACTCATATCTAAAACTACAATATAGCGAAAAAAATATTCAGAAACATTAAGCAAGGGCTGGTGAGATGGCTCAGTGGTCTAAAGCACCTACTTAGAACAAGCTTAGCAAAGCACAGGGACCACGGTTCAATCCCCCAGCACCACATGCCAGTCAGCCCCCGCCCCCTGGTGGGCTGCGCTGCCCCCCACACACACACACACAGAGAAAGAAACATTAAGCAAAGTGGTAAAGACTGCTTTAATAAAAAGCAAATTATAAAAATTGTCCTATCTAGCACTAAATATGACTAAAATCTTAGTTTAAAGAACTGAATCTACTGTAAACCTTCTTGTGTCCCCTCAGCTACTGCATAAATCCAAGTGGACTCACCTTTGTCATCTGATCTGCATCTGGCCTTACAGTTGGAGTCACATTTAACAGCAGTTTCACATGTTCACGGACTTCCTCAGGTATACTTGTGAGTGAACTAGATCCTAAACGACTCAACTATTCAAAAGAATGATAACATTAAGCATGAATATAAACCATCCTAAAAGATGTATGTTTATATTAATAATCTATAATACTAAGTGTAAACTAAACAAAATGTAAATTTTCTGTTTTTGAGATATCTTTAATACACCCCTGAAATTGTTTCCAATCCTAAACAAAATGTGCAGCATTTTAGATCATCTTTTAATATTCACAGTCATAAATGCTATGACTAAAGTTAGGGTAACAAACTTAAACTACTAGTTCATTATTTATAAAAATTATTTTTATTAAAGTAATACAAACTGGAAATTCATGCAAAATCGAAATTTAAGAACTTTCAAGCAAATACAAATAGACCAATACCTGATCCAACTGCCTACTGAAACTTTTATAGATATCTTGTTTGTTGACTTCAAATATAGGTTTCCCTTTATTAAATACAGCATACACGACAGTTCCTAAAGAATACATATCACTGGCTGTTTCACAGCTGACAGAAAGTATGTACTCAGGAGCCAGATACTCAGGATTTGGAAGACACAGTGATGGTAAATTTGGGTCCCATTCTTTACATGGAAACTTAGGCTGTAATAAGAAGACAAGAGATGACACAGATTCAACACCTCAATGAAAGCAAACCATTATCAAGCCATAGTAATCTATCTTTAAATTTATACTAAGTTACAGAAGGAGAAATGTCACCACCACCTTCAATTTTAAATCTCCAAACCTACAACTCTGGAACACACATGCAATAAACTGAGAGATAAAACTCTTATAAAAACTCTGAGGTTTCTGAAGGCTCCTCTAGAAACTAAATCATCACTATGCAGTACCACCAGGCAAAGGTCTGGTTCATGTTTATGATACACAGGCTTCAAGTTTTATGGACTCAGTAGAAACTACTGCCTTGAAACCTTGTCATTCCACTAATATATGGTTTAGTTAACAGATTCCATGTCCATGATGGGACTATAATTCATATTCTCACTGCCAAGAGGCTTGAACCACTGAGGGTACGTGCATGATTGTCCCATCAGGTGGCGTTTTATTAATTTTACCAAGGAAAGACAAATGAGAGTGACTGGATCTGTTTGTACCACCAATAATACAAGCTGGTGGTTCAAGTTGGCAGGAATATGGTAAACAAATGTATGAAAGTCAGACCTGGCACAGTGCCGGATCTACAGCACACTGAACCAGTACCCAATCTTTCTGATTCCCTTAATATCAACATACTTGGAAACTAAGGTAGAAAGATCTTAAGTTTTAGCCAAACCTGGGCAATTCAATAAGACACTGTCTTAAAATATAAAATAAAAAGGGCTGGGATATAGTTCAGTGTGAAAGCTATGGGTTCAATCCCCAATATTAGAAAAAAAAGTCTGAATTACAAATCCAGCTGGACAAGGTAGCACACCCCTGTGATCCCAACCCTCAGGAGGCTGAGGCAAGAGGATCATTGCAAGTTCAAGACCAGCCTGGACCTCAAAATGGGCTCAAGGCCAGCTTGAACCGCAAAATGATAATTTATAGTAAGACACTGTCTCAAAAAGACCCCCGCAAAAAAACCACAAATCCATTTCAGGCAAAATTATGGTGCCTTTAAAATCAACATTTAGAAAATGTCTGAAAAACAACAAGGCCATCTCTCAAAAGGTCTTCTTCTACCCTACAGAAGACTATTAAATTCAGTAGGTTGGGGATATGTTGTTAGGGATTCACAATGTAGTTAGCATATTTGGCATTCTGAGGGAGAAAACCTATTTAACATAATAGTTACCGAATTCATTTAACTCTGGCATCTGTTTCTCGAGTAATAGTAACAACTTCTATGGGGGCCGGGGAGATGGCTCAGTAGGATAAGTGCTTGACTGGCAAATGCAAGGATCTGAGTTCAATCCCCAGTTCCGCCAAAAAAAAAAAAAAAAAAACAAAACTTCTATGGAACTGATGAGCTGAAGATTATGTTTAAGTAGAAGGAACACTAGAAATGCTATATAAAGCTGTAAATTTAAAAGTCCCAGTGTAACACATAGTCTATTTGTACACATCCATCAGGGTTATACTAAATCCTCTAGTCCATTTCTAGCATAATTGCAAACTGCTGTGGCTTTAAAAATTGAAAGACAAAAATATTACCTCTTGCTCAGATGGATTGGTCGATGACACACAAAAATCAAAGCCCATTATTTTCCAGGCTCCACTTTTATTCAAGATTATATTTTCTGGAGTAATATTTCCATGAACCATTTTCACACTGCTGTGCAAAAATGACAATCCTTCTGAAACCTGTAAGTGTAAAATTATTTTAAATAAAATTCCCTTCAACTGCAACAATAAAATGGTTCATAAAAATCATAATAACTGCTGGTTCTCCCAGTAAGAATTGTGTACATCAACTAGCAGCAAAATTTTATCACAAACACAGATATTGTCCTGTTGCCAGGACAATCTAAGTTGTAAGAACAATCTAAGCAGTAGTGGAGAAAATTTTATTATAAAGCAGAACAACTTCTGTATCTATTAAGCTGCTTTCTATATACACATACGTGAAAGGAAAAAGAAAAACACTCTTTGCTCTCAGTATTTATTCAGTTCTAGAGTTTGAAAGGTAAGGGAATCTTTGGCTCTTATGTTATAAATAAAGAACACTAAGATTTCCACACACTTACATTTCATATTGAAATTCAGTTTTTCTGAACAGTACCTGGGCTTAGTTTCCAAATATTCAATTGATGTTCAGTTATTCTCACACTGTATTAATATTTGCAAAGATTTACATTTGTGCCTGAGATTACCATGGCGTTTATTACCAAGATAGAAGATCGGGTTTGCTTCCAGTAAGAAGTGCCTTTTGGCAAGCAAACACTCCCTGACCTCAGGACACCCTGTTCCTGGTTTTCCTCAAACTCCAGTGGACCCTGTGTTTCAGTCTGTTTTGCTGATCTTCAATTCCCCAAACTCCTGACACAGCAGACATCTGCCATCTCCGCTCGCCCTCTCAGGGCCTCTACCCCACTTTCATCATCAGCTACATGCTGACTGTTCTCCGTTTTGAAATACAGACCCGACCATCTCACCACTCTCCTGACTTCTCTCTCCTTGAATGTCTGATAAGCATCACAATCTCAGGGGAATCCAAAACTGAGTTTGTTGCTGGAATTCAATCCTATTCCCTGTAGTCGTTCCTGTATCAGTTAATGATCATTTCATTTTCTAGTTGCTTAGGACAGAAACCTTTGAGTTCTTCTGTATTTCTCCATTTTTTTCACATGGCAAATCCTGCTGCCTCCACCATCAGCGTACACTTGGATTCAATCACCGCTTTCCTTTCTGGGGCCCATCACCATTTCCAGCTGGGGTTACTGCGGCAGTCACCTACCTCATCTCCCTGCTCTGCTTTTGCCCTTCTACAGTCAGCGCTGGGTACTGAGCTAGAGCGACCTGCTCAATCCCACCCAGATTGTGCCACCTCCTCTCAATCCTTCCACAGGCATCCCCTCTCCATGGGAAACCCAAATCATTCTCTGCTTCCCAGGCCCCGGCTCCCTGAGAGCCCTCCACTCTTCTCTCCTGTGCTGGCCTTCTTGTTTCTTCCTCCTGGGCACGGAATGGCTGTCACTGTTCCCTGCCCATCGTGCATGATCCTGGCTTAGAAACTTCAGAGCTATAATTTTTCTCTACCTACATCATTTCTCTCCTCCAGCTACGAAGAGTTTTTGAATTTTTAAGGTTGTTCTCAAATGTCTCCTTTCCAGTGATACATCCCTGACCATTCCATTCAAAAGTTTAAATCCTCTTTTCTCTCATCCAAACCATTCCTCTTTCCCCTTCCTTTCATTTTTTGCTCCCCATCACTTAACAAAACCTAATTTACTGCCTTTTGTCTTTCCCACAAGAATATCAGTTTCCAAAAGGCAGAACTGTCTTCTTTGCTGCTATACCTTCAGCACCCAGAACTGTGCCAAACTGAAGCTATTTAAACTGTCAGCACAAGAATGTAAGAAGTACTACACAGTCCAGAAGGCACCCAGGCTCCTGCCCTCACATCATTAGTCGTCAGAATTCCGCGCAGGTGACTCTCTACAGGTCACAGCTGACACACTACTTTGAACTGTGGGGCACCAACTTCCCGCTGTTGCTTTTTTTTTTTATTTTTTATTTTTTGGCAGAACCAGGGATTGAACTCAGGCCCTTGCGCTTGCCAGGGAAGCACTTATTCCACTGAGCCATCTTCCCAGCCCAAAGGCAGAAGGGTTTTTTTTGTTCGTTTTTCTCCAAATGCCTTCAGGGCATGATTGGCTGGCTTGAGTTGTGGGGATCGAACCACAGCAACCTGAGCCTGACTGCTTTGTTGAAGCAGCCACTTAAAGAACTGAGCTAAGGGGCAGGCCCCCCTGCTGTTGCTTTTGAGACTGCCCTCACCATGGAACTTGCTGTGTAGGCCAGGCTACCCTTGAACTTGCGATCTTCTGTCTCAACCTCTTGAGTGCTACGAGTACAGGACAGAATCATATCCAGCATACCATATATAGCAGGGAACAAAAGCCTAAGTTTATATGAATTTCAGGCTATTGATTTGACAGATGTTTTTATGTTTTCCGTAATTAACTTAATCTTTGGAACCATTTTATAGTTGGAAAAAAGTTCAGACACTTAACTATAAAGCTACACTAATCACAACAGGCTGTTACTAGCGTAACAACTGACACGCAGGCCAGTGGGATAGACTCAGGACCCCAGGATCGCATTCTTATGTATATGATAAAATGATTTTTGACAATAGTACTAAAACCATTCAATGCTACAATACCAGCACTGGGAAGACTAAGGCAGGAGGACGCCAGGAGTTTGAGGTCAGCCTAGGCTACATAGTGAGTTCAAAGCCAGCATGGACTACATGGCGAAAGCTTGTCTCAAAATTAATTAAAAATAAAACAATTCTGGGACTGGAGAGATGGCTTAGTGGAGTAAGTGCTTCCCTGGCAAGCGCAAGGGCCTGAGTTCAATCCCCGGTTCTGCCATAAAAAAAAATAAATAAATAAAATGATTCAATGGAAAAGGACAGATTTTTTCAACAAATGGTCCTAGAAAAACTGATATTCATTTAAGAAAAAATGAAGTTGAACTTTTCTAGCATTTATACACATTAACTCAGGGCAACAGACTGCATGTTCAGCATGTACAAAGCCCTTGGTTCAATTCCAAACCAAAAGAAGAGGGCAGGAAGGAAAGCAAAGCAGATCAAAGACCTAACCTAAGACCTGAAATGGAAGAAAAATACAGCAAATACTTCATGACATTGGGTCTGGCCATCACTTCTTAAATATGACACTGAAATAACAAGTAATAAACGTAAAGTATATGAAACAGACTGTTCAAAATAAAAGAAATTCTGAGTCAGTGAGATAGCTCCACAGAGTAAGTGCCTGCTTAAACAAGCACAGGGATTGAGGTTCAATCCTGGGCACCACACGCTGTGCCAGCCCCACCCCCCAGGCGAGCTGAGCTGGCCACTGAGACCGGGCATGGTGGTGCACACCTGCAATCCCTGGGCTGGGGAGGCTGAAAACAGGAGGAGCACTATGAGTCTGAGCTGTATGGTGAGACCCTGTACCAAATAAATAAAAATAAATAAGTAAATAAAATAAAATCTTTGCTTTGAAGAACACAATCAACAGAGTGAAAAGGCAACCCACAGAATGGGAGAAAAGCCTATACATATTTGATACAGGGTTGACATTCAGAATATGTAGAATTTTGTGAATCAATAATATAGAAAACAAAACAAAACAAGATTATTCCCAAGTGGACAAGAACTTAATGGTTAGATGTAGCTTCACAACACCCAGGAAACATATACAAAGATGTTCAAAGTCATTAATCATTAAGGAAATGTAAATCAAAACCACACAGACCCATCATTATTTTACACGGCTACTGAATGTTTATATCTAACATTTTCTGAATTTATTTTCTTATGCATTAAATAGTAGTAATTTAGCTGGGCATGGTGGCACACACCTGTAATCCCAGCACTCAGGAGGCTGACGCAGCAGGATCATGGCAAGTTTAAGGCAAGCCTGTGCTACAAAGTGAGTTAAAAGCCAGACTGAACCATATAGTAATACCCTGTCTCAAAAAGACCAAAAATAAGCAGTAATTTTTAAAAAGTTAAGTTGGGATTCTATTTTCAATTCTAGAAAATGTAAATTAATCCACAGCAACAGAAAGCAAGTGAGCAATTTGCTGGAACAAGAGTACTGAAAGACAGAAAGGTGAGAAGAATTACAAGGAATATAAAAAAGGTTTGAGGGTGACAGGCAGGCACATTATCTTGATTTTGGTAATAGTCTTCGAGATATGTCAAACATAAGACTACATATTTGGGGGCCAGGGATATAGCTCAGTGGCACAGCTCCTGCCTGGTAAGTGCAAGGCCCTGAGTTTAATTCATAATATAAAATCAAACAAACAAAAAAAGACTACATATTTGCCTATATGCAGTTTACTGTATGCCAATTACATATTGAGAATGCTGTTAAAAAATGATTTTATATCCAAGGAACTCAGAATATACTGTATAAATCTGTCTGTGGAGCAGAGGTTGTTATTTTGGTAAGCAGAGAAAGTAAAATCTTAAAAAGTAGGCTAACAATACCTCTTATTTAACGTGTACTAAATTCCTTGGAGTTGTCATATGGTTTTATTCTTATTAAATACTTCTTTCTTCTCTTTTCCTTCTCTTGGTCCTTCTTCCTGTTGTTGTCTTTTTGTCTCCATCCTCTTGCCTCAGCCTCCCAAGAACTGGGATTACAGGGGCGTGCCAACACTCTCAGCTCTGTTTTTTCCTTCTCTGGAGACAAGTGTCTCACTTTGTAATTCAGATGGCTTTGAGCTCATTATGGAACCCAGACTGGCCTTAAATGTAAGTCAATGGAAGCTGCAGGCCCAGCTGCAGCCCAAGGACACGGCCCCCCTGCAGAGCCTGCACTAGCACTGCATGCAGCTCCCTCACCAGCTCTAGCCCTAAAGTGAGGGCCTGCTGCAGAGCCACTTCTTCACCAGCTCTAGACCTGCAGCCACGTGTGCTCCAGAAGCAGGTGTCACCTCCGGACTTCAGCCCATCTGCAGCTAGCTCTTCCCGCACGACCACCCCCTGCACCCTGCCTCTTGCACCTAATGCTGTATTTGCTCACAGTTTAATTCCCAGTGTTGTGTAAGTATATAAATACATTGATTTTTAATGGAAAAAAAAATTTGAGTCAATCCTCCTGCCTCACCCTCACAAGTGCTAGGATACCAGGGGTGTGGCACCACTCCTGGCCCCCTAAATTCTTCTTCATTTCAATTTAAAGTTTTATTTACAAAAGAAATTTACATAGTTTAAAATTAGGAAAGAAACCACCCCATGCACCTTCCAATAAGTGTTTTTCCTCAAACATTGCCAATATTATCAATTTAATGTATCTGAAATTACACCCAAATTAACAAAAAACTACAAAAACAATTCTAGAACATAAAAATAATTTTTAAGTTATTCACAAGAACCAAAGGCTTATACAAAGTAGTTTACAAGGAAAAGTTTGAAGTAGCCAGGAAAAAAATTTAAAAGAAAATTATTTTTTACATGTTAAATATAATAAATACATACCTGAAGCAAACCATATTTAGTTTCTACATCATAAAGTTTATAATCCTTAATGTCTGGAGATATAGAGGAAGGCAGATTTTCCCAGTTACCAAGAACGTTGGCTAAACTCGCAAAAACTGGTTCTGTACAAAATGCCAAGCAATCCCTGTTTTAAAAAAGTAAGAGTCATTACCATCATTGCTATACAGCGTCAAGATCAAATATCCATAAGACAGCAAGAGGGCCTATCTTATGATCAATAAGGGAGATTTTTAAACTGGTAAATTTCAGATACTATTCTTCAAACAGCAAAGTCAGGAGTACAAGAATCACAGTAGATATATCGTACAATCTTTTTAAACCAAGTGTCACAATTTTATATATAAATAAAATATGTATAATTTTATATATAAATTTATATTCTTTGAAACTTAAGTCATGATATAAAATATTTCAATTGTGATTTCTCAAATACTGATATTCTCTATGGGAAGCTAATGAATGGGTACAAAATAATATTAACTTACATCTTTGATGTCCTTTCTAAGGCTTTAATTCTCAGGATATGCTCAAAGGAACTTGCAGACTGACTACAGATTCCTCATGAGGAACAAGCAGCAAAGAAAATACCTCCATACTCCTCAACTTGTGCTTCAATCACAGCATCTATTTTATGTATCATTTTAAATGGTGTAACAATTTTAATCTTTCTAAATTACTGCATTTCAATGTATAAATTCAGAATTGGATACTGACATTCAAGAGACATATACAGTAGGGGTCAAGAGCTCAGGCGCTGAAGACTGACAGATGTCTGACTTCTAGTCCCAGGCTTTCTGTCCCCTGGCTGGGTGACACTGGACACCGTATCTCTATGCCCCACTCTGCCCATGAAAATGATGGTAAGAGATGCACCTAGAAGAGTTACTGTATCAAAGTAAATAAACATGTGAAGTACACAGCAGAATGTCGAGTGTGCATGCTTAGTAAATGCTTCCCACTGCTATACCACCAAGCATCCACACCTCAAGTTCTAACATCTTAGGGTATTCATGTTATTGTTTTATGAGTCTAAAAAGCTTCAATAACTTTTCTTCTGCCTTGAACCCATTTCTCAAATGAAAGCATACGCAGAAGCTTAAGGTGTATGAGAAAGAGACAGCACTGCTTAGGCTGAAGAGGGAAAAGGGTCACACTATCCTAGGACGGCCACTGCTGGTTTGCTACTCCGAGGATTCAGCTCACTAACACAGTGGATACTAGGCATTCTTTTCTTAAATTGTACTGAACGGGAAGTTGCTCAAATAACTCTTCCACTGCACTCATGTACTTTAGCAGCTCTTATTTTGTTCCACTGTGTTAAGGTTTGTATCTAGTTGTCCTCCCAAAGCCTCATGCAGTCATGGGGCAGGGCTTTCTAGAGTCTGTGATTAACTCTGACCTGCTGGGATTATGGGTGATCCAACGCTGGCTTATGGGTCTTAGCACTGCTGGGATTATGGGTGAGTGTACTTCCCCCAGCCTGGGGCAGAAAGCCTGAATGCAATGTAAGAGAGACAGATTTCCTCTCTGTCGCCATTGTTGCTGCTACTCCTCCATTTTGCTCTTGCTCTTTGCTGCCGCCATGAAAGGTCATTCTCTGCCATGTGCCACTCTGCCTTGGAGCCAGCTGAATATGGACTGAGATCTCCAGTAACTAAGCTAAATAAACCTCTCCTTCCTTTATTTTGCGTGTCAGGTATATGTCCCAGCAATGAGAGAAGAATAACTGATACACTGTATTTCTACCCAAAAATCATCTTTGGTGACATCATGATTCTAGCCAAGCCTGGTGGCACACACCTGTAATCCCAGCATTTTGGAGGCTGAGGCAGGAAAACCGTGAATTCGAGACCAGCCTGGGCTACAAAGTAAGCACAAGGCTAGCCTGAACTACATAGTGTGACCATGTCTCAAAAAGACAAAAGAACACATTCCATCACTGTACTTCAAGTGCTAACGCCTTATTTACACTCTCATGAATATTCATTTGCATTATCACTCTAGTCATACAGCAGAAGACTATACTTATTAAGGACCACTGACTTGAATCAGTTTCCTTTCTTTCCCCCAAACCACATCAACAATAAACATTTATGTCCTTTACTAGGCAAATGACCACCACAGCTTTTTCTAAGTCACAAATCATACTATAACCTTATGTCATTATTTATTTGATATAAATGAATGACCTCACCTTGCTAGAACTCTTCTCAGTATATTACTAATATTTCAACCATTCTCCTTTTAGCTGCTGCTGTAAGACTTTACTCACATCATTCCTGCTGGGTTCCTTCACATTTCCTAGCTTCAAACTATCATCCTACTAAAATTATCAAATGTCACTAATGACTTCTCCACTAGTCAAATATGATGGATTTTTTTTTTTTTTTTTAACGTGATGGATTCTTCTTGGTCCTTATTTCCTTTCTGTCCCATGGTCCTCAGTGTTAGTGGGCCCTTTCCTACCTCCTCTGGCTTTCACGACATGTTACCAGGTTTTCAACTGCCGCTGACCACAATCTCTCCTTTTGTTCTGCCTGGCCTTTTCTCCTACTATGCTTCAATGTTCTTCCCTCAGTATGCTGCTATTTCACTTATATCTTAAGAAATTCATTTTTCTTCTTGGTTTCAATTATAGTCTCTATGCTACACATTATAACCCTGAACCTTCACTGACATTACTCTTTCGGATTTCTCTACAAACCAGAAGTTATTGTCCCAATTTACTGTATATTAATGCTACTATAATTTTTACAAGCTAATAATTAAAAATTTATAGTCTCTGATTTGTCCCTATTCCTGACCACCAATAAATTCCTAGTTCTATGATGTTTAAATCACTATAAAAGAACCTGTAAGGATAGAGGAAAATGTAACACTTTGATTCTTCTCCCCTTAAGAAAGTTAAAACAGTAACTATGAGTTATGAGACACATTAGTAAAAATAGCAGGAGTATTTTTATAATAAGAGACAGGGGAGCATATTTGTGAGCCCATCAGACAGCAAGGTCCAGGTAAAGGGAAACAAACGAAAAGATGGGCTCAGCAAGCAAGCTACTGAATGATTTCATTTTGCCGGTTACTACTATACAGTTTATCTCTATTGTACGTAACTGTGAGACCCAACTGAGCTAAATAGCACAGAGCAGTTCACATAGTTTCTCAAATGCTACATGTTCATGCTTTTTCATTCAGACTGATAAAAAGGGGTGGGGTTTACTGAAGATTCCAAAGTAACAATTTTTCAGAAACCCCAACAGAACATAGATAAAGCAAAGCTATCCTGGCTGAAGGGAGCTTGAAGCGTGGAATCCGCCATCTGGGTCCCACCATTGCCTGCGCCTCCTCATCATTAAAATCCTAAGGACCACAGACACACACAGCAAGCCATTTCATTACAATCTTCTGAACTGAGAGGGCAATACAATCTGCTAAGAAGGAACAAACTGGATGTCATAAATAATGTGGAAAAGGAATGCAAAGCTACCAAGGCACCACAAGCCCGACACTCTGGTCAAAATGACAAAAAATTCACTTTACAGTCATTCTCAGCAACATTAACATGCTGAGTAGAATAGAAGCTAAAATTGTCTAAAACAGCACTTGCTACAAACATAAAATCAGTCCCTAATGAATCAATATAAAGGGACAAATTCTAGCAAAGGAGCAAAGACGGCCACTTTCAGGCAGTGGCTGCACTCCACCCTTCTCTTCCCTCCCTCTTCTGTGTTGCTACCCTAATGCTGACACGGACAGGCCGGCGCTTAAACACAGATGCACAGCAAACGTGAAGTCTTCATATTTCCAAAGCAAGCAACATATGCAAGGACGATGCAATAATGTTAGGGGAATTATCCACTACAACCACATAAGAATTTTTCTCTGATGGTATTCGAAACAGACTTCAAATATAAAGTCACTTTTCTTTCAGAAGTCATACATAGGTTTCTATAAAAATTTACCTTGATTCTTCTAAAGGATGTTGTACAGTAAGAAGTCGAGGGTGTCGTAGCCGAGTTAATTGCTGGACTCCTCGTTTTAGAGAATCGATGATTTGATCCTTTTCAAATTTTTGATATTTGTCAATCAGCTTTTTATCAAAGACAAAGACAGCCACTTCCTGACAAAAGAATTGCCACTTATTTTAATCAAGAAATGTATAAAAGTCATAAAATTTTATTTGCATGTTGTAACAGTCTATAGACAACTGAAAACTGTCACAGAAATTTTATCACCGTTGTAATACTCTTCTGATAAAAAAGCTGAGATTTCCAACTGGGCATGGGAGCACACACCCCTGTAATCCCAGCACTCAAGAAGCTGAGGGAGAAAGACTGCTGTAAATTCCAGGCCAGCCTAGGCTACAAAGTGAGTTCAAAGCCAGCCTGAACTGCATAACAAAACTCAATCTCAAAAACAAAAACAAAAAAAAAGTTGATTTCATTATGACTAGTAAATCTAAATATTTTTAGATACATGACCCAGCATCTTCATCTAAAAAGAACACGGGACAACCCCCCCACCCCACCTTTGAATTCTGGTATCCAACATGCACATAAACTGGATGCTACACAGTTTCTGCTATGTAACAATCTCGTATTTAATCAAAATTAAAACAAAAATATTTAAAATGTAAACATTATGCACTGCACATATACCCAAATAGAGGGAGAAGGGGAGGGAAGAAGAGGGGAGAGGAAAAAGGAGGGAGGGAAGAGGGTGACAGGGGAATCAAGACAGGCTGTGCACACGTGCCGGCTCCACTCTAGGCCTGTGATCATTATGCACTGCACTCGTGTGCTAATACACCAAAATAATTTTTTAAGTTTACAAAATCAAAATACTGTTTCATAATGATAAACTTGGAATATACAAAATTGTGGAAAGTTTTTTGAAATATAAACTGTGTATCAAGGAGTGCGCCTTAATACAAAAACCTAATCTGTAAGCAGGTATTACAAAGAAGAACCCACACTCTCATACTACTCGCAGTAAGAAGTCACTGAGGGCTGGGGAGATGGCTCAGTAGTCTCAGCACCTGCCTGGCAAGCACAAGGACGTGGGTTCCATTGCTGGTACTGCATGCCGCGCCAGCCTGCACCATGCCAGCCCCCGAAACCGGGTGTAGTGGCACACCCCTGCAATCCCAGTGCTGGGGAGGCTGACACAGGAGGATTGCTACCAGTCTGAGCTGAGTGGTAAGACCCTGTACCAAATAAATAAAACTTTAAAAAATTTTTTTTAAAAATCACTGAATGGCTACTGGTACAGGAAGGTGTTTCCTAAGTATGTCACTCTGAAATCACTCATAATCTTAACTATTAGAATCAAGCATGCTCTTTGCCATTTACTCCTTTTCATTCTCAGTTACCCAAGCAAACAATTCTCATCTAGTTAAATCATTTTACTAAATCAGCCTAGAAGTGGCCCTGTTGATGGATGACACACAGTAATATGATTCTCAATAATAATAAAAAAACTGATAAAGCAGGAGGCAAAATTAGCAAAAAATGCAAGCCTTCCAAAAGTCTTTGAACAAATATTTTAAAAGAGTATTTTGGGGGGCCAGGGAGATGGCTCAGTAGAATAAGTGCTTCCCTGGCAAGCGTAACGGCCTGAGTTCAATCCCCAGTTTCACCAAAAAAAAAAAAAAAAAAAAAAAGAATATTTCATAATATATACTAAGTTATGTTTGAAAGCCTCTAATTAAACCAACTACTACCCATGTTGGCACCTTTTTATTTACTGTTTTCCTGTTTTTGTTTTTTTATACAGGGTGCCGCTACACAGTTCAGACTGGTAGTGATCCTCCTGTCTCAGCCTCCCCAGCACTGGAATTACAGGCATGTACTACCATGCCTGGTTTCAGGCCAGCACCACTGCAGTACCAGGGATTGAACTCGGGTCCTTGCGCTTGCCAGGCAGGTGCTTAGAGCACCAAGCTACATCTCCAGCCCTGTTTTTCTCTTTTAACTTTTTTAAAAATTTTTGCCACACTAGCATTACTGTTTCCACAAGCTAGCCTAGCCACCTAATCATCTCACAGAGATTCACAGCAAAATTCCAAACAAATAAGTTGTTCAATTATTACTTATTTTTAGTTAGACAGGCTTATTATAAATACATTGGTTAATCATTAGAAAGGATTAAGGGCTGGAGAGATGGCTCAGTGGTCTAAAGCACCTACTTAGAACAAGCTTAGCAAAAGCATCAGGGACCGCGGTTCAATCCCCCAGCACCACATGCC